TCCATAACTTAGGCGCCACCGCTGAGAAAGCCCTCCTCCAAGTAGCCACCCTCCTAATTTCTCTCACGGGGGGCTCCCGGAGAAGGGCCACTCCCGCCGATCTCAGGGGGCGACTGGGCATATATGGATGTAAGCGCTCCTTCAGGTAACCAGGACCTAAGCTGTTTAGGGCCTTATAGGTCATTACCAACACCTTGAATTGGGCCCGGACTTCAATGGGGAGCCAGTGAAGCTGACGGAGAACTGGAGTCATGTGAACATAACGTCCAGTCCCCGTCAGCAGCCTGGCAGCTCTATTCTGCACCAATTGAAGTATCCGGACCATCTTCAGGGGCAGCCCCACGTAAAGCACATTACAGTAATCTATTTTGAAAGTTACTAGTGCATGGATAACTATTTTCAGATTCCATGTGTCTAAGTAGGGACAAAGCTGGGAAATCCACCACAGCTGGAAAAAGGCACCCTTGGACACCCAGTCCACCTGGTGTTCCAGAGACAGATGTGGGTCCAGGAGCACCCCCAGACTACAAACCTTGTCCCTTGAGAGTGTGACCCCATCCAGGACAGGGTAATGCCCCTCCAACCTGTCAGAGGACACCCCCCCCTGCCAATAGCACGTCCATCTTACTGGGATTGAACCTCAGTTTATTGACCCTTATCCAGTCCGTTATCAAGCCCAGGCCCCAACTCAGGACAGTGACAGCCTCATCTGGATTAGATGCAAAAGAAAAGTAGAGCTGAGTATCGTCGGTCTGTTGCTGACTCCTCAGCCCAAACCTCCAGATGACCTCTCCCAGCGGTTTCATGTAGATGTTAAACAGCATGGGGAGAGTACAAAGCCCTGTGGAACCCCATGACACAACTGCCATGGGGCAAAGCACCTGTCCCCCAGCACCACCTTTTGGATCCAGTCAGCCAGGTAGGAGTGGAACCATCGCAATGTGGTGCCTCCCACTCCCAACTCAGCCAGCCTGTCTAGAAGGACACCATGGTCAATGGTGTCGAAAACCGCTGAGAGGTCAAGGAGAACCAACAGGGTCATATTCCCTCTGTCCCTCTCCTTGCACAGGTCATCATACAGTGTGACCAAGGCTGTCTCCATGCCAAACCCAGGCCTAAATTCTGATTGAAATGGATCTAGATAATCCATATCCTCCAAGAGTGCCTGAAGCTGCTGAGCTACCACCTGCTTCAACACTTTGCCCAAAAATGGAAGATTGGTGATGGGCCAGTAGTTGTCCAGTATGCCTGGATCCAGGCCTGGCCTTAAGGAGTTGTCTCATCACTGCCTCCTTCAAGGAGGCGGGAACCACTCCCCTTATGTTCCTACTCTGAGAACTAAGAAAGACCAATTCTTTATTCCCCAAATTAGGTGCAAATTCTAGCTCTTAGCAAGCCAGCTAGCATTCTAAAGGGTCTTGAGATTTGATAAAGTATTGTAGCTTGAATGGATACCGTGAATTATTCACATCTGTGGGCAAGTCTGCTTTGCTTGAACTAAGGTGCCAAAGAAGCCAGAAAGAAGTTTCCAGAATTGTTTGCAGTAGTTAGATTGTTTTGATCCCTCTGTTGGTTTTTCTCTGAAATGATGCTACCAATTGTGACCCTGAGATTTGCCCTTCAGAAGAAATAACTTATTAGAACAGCCATTCCCAGATAAACAAAAGCCCTTGTTTGTTAATAAGATACATTACCTAGAGCTGTGCAATTTATATAAAATGCACCTCCTTCTGAATTTCTTGTGGAGGAAATATACAGTTCAGAATAAATGGTTGATTTAATGGTCCATACATTTGCTAATTTTGAACACTTCGTTCTGCCTCCATGAGCCAACTTTTTAAAGAAATATACTTGCCTGGCAAGAATTTGGAGAAGTGATGTGTGCAGAGCTTAGGTAGATGGCTGAAGTAGATGTGTGGGAATAGTAGCTTTTCTGAAAGAGGGCAAGGAGAGTATGGCGCCTATCTGAGGCCAGTCCTTCCGTCCTTTTCCATCCTCTTCCTATGGCCTGTCCTTCCTATCCTTCCATCCTCTTCCAGTCCTTTTCTGTTCTGTTTTTGTAACTAGTCATTGAAAAAAGCTATTTCTCACAGCTTTACCAATTTGGTCATTTACACAGAGACTTGATGCAAATTTTGAACTTGTGTCTGCTCTTTTCTAAAATAATTCAAACTTCATTCCTTTCATGAGTTACACTTTCTCTTAAAAACACTTCTCCTCCACAGCAGTGGCTCATGCAAAGGCTACTGAAAAGCCTTCTTTCTTCTATCATTTTACTAGCACAGCCCTGAATTGTTAATTCTTGCATTCATCTGTAATGATCAGTGTTATGTTTTCTGGAGCAGTTATATTTCTTTATTTATGTACCAGGGAGGGAGCCAGTGTAGCTTGTTGACCGATCCAAGATGACAAATAATAAAGTGCACCTTGTTGTCCAGTGAAAACACCCCTGCAAGTGTGGGAAGGCAGTAAGTTTTTCTCTGTGCTAGAATGGGATGACCTGATTATCCTTCCTGCTGTTTGTCCATAAGGAAAGACATCAGCAAGTCAAAGAGGAGAGCAACATCTTGGATTTGCAGCAGAAACGCGATGAAGACAGAAAGAAGATTCGAGAAGAGAAGGCACGTCTTGCCAGGAGAGTTGCTATTCAGGTAGACCTTACAGGCAAAAGATCTGTTTGTTTTTTGGTTCAATTAGAAGTCAGACCAAGTATGTTTACTGCTGCTCCATGTTGGAAGAACAAATAACCGCGGCAGAGCTTTAACACTGCTTGTTTGTTTTAGGAGCTGCAGCAAAAACGGTCCCAAAAAGTGTTGGATGCTCAGCGTTTGGTTCAGGAGGAATTGACAGCGATAAAAGCAAGTAAGAAAACCGGAAGAAGAAAACCTGAGAAGGCTGGCTCAGCGAAGAACACCAGCCCTGCCAACAGCATCGTCAAAGCCAACAATGCAGGTGAGAAGTACCTCGGAATGTTAGGTCTGGGTGTTTCCTGTTGCTTTACTTCCAGTGTGCGCAAAAAGAAAATTAGGATCTACTAGAAGATGTTTGAGTGGTTGGCAATATGCAGCAAGGATCTCTAATTCCTAGTACTTTTAACTATTGTAATATTTAGGTCCAAATTGAATTGTTTAGCATTTCTCGTCAGTAGTAACTTAGCTATCTGAGTATGTAGGTCATCCCAGTATGTAGACATTTTGTACCTGGCTTCAGTTGGTGGACTTCAAAGTTTTTAGGGAGACTCCCTCTATTAAGGGAGTTTAGTATGTCTTAATTCTAAGATAGAACTGCAGAAAATATCTGATAATAGACTGCAAACAGAAGAAACAAACTCAGAGTGCCATGTGGGCAGCTGATACAGTCACATAAATTCATAGTCAGCAACTGATTGCTACAGCTTTATTGTTGCTGTGAGAGATGGCTTCAAAACAGGACTGCAGGTACCACAACTGAATTTTACATGGGTTTGCATCAGGCTTTAGAAATCAACTCATGGCTGTATGAAATTAGGCTGAGTGCTGCATTGACTAAAAATTGACTCCGTTTGAAAATGTTGTGGGTTACAGTTTCACTTGTTCCCATAATGCATAGCTCCTGTCTGTAGCCCATCCAGTGGCAATTGGTTACTCAGCTGCCCAATGTGACACTCACTCATTTTAATTTTAGTTGCAGAAACTGACAAGCAGTCCAGCAAGCTGTAGGCATCACACATATCAGAAGGTTTCCTACTCTAATTCTCAAAATCTTCATGTTTCCAGAAATACTGCTCACTATTAAAAAACACACACAATAACATACCCCTGATGTTTGAATTACAGCAAACATTTGTTGTTCTTGTTGTTTATAGACCCTAACTTGGCAGCTACAGATACAGAAGAAAATTCTGCCATGGCAGGTCTTTCTGTCCCGGGACAAAACAAACTACCTGAAGAGCAGCCGCAGGTGCCCCCTTCTATCTTCTCATGCTTCTGAAAGTTTAGCTACTCTCCCTCACCCCTTTTTTCCCTCACTTCTCAGTTTCCACTGTTTGCTGTTTCTATGCAATGAAACATTCTGTCTGGCCTGGGAATCCATGGCCTTCCATGCCTTCTTATGGAGTTAGATCAAACTTCTCCATTTGAAACATAAATGATACTATGTACTTAGCAAAAGGCATGCAGCTTCACAATACATGGCTTTTCTCTGCTGCTCAGGATGTCAACTCTGGAAAGATGGCCAGTGAAGACCTGCAGACTATGATCACTGCAGCCAGCAGGGCACAGTCCAAGGTGACCCTTAATGAGCTACTGGACACCCTAAAGTTGTTGGAAGAAGAGCCAGAGCTGTTGCCACAACCAAAGACCAAAGAGGATAAATACGCTTGGATAGATGGGGTAATTGGGCATGGAGGGAAGAAGCAGATATAAAGATTTCACTGCCTTTATCAGTTGGTACATTTTATGGATAACGCTGAATTGTAAAAGCCTAACCCTAACCTAATCCTGGGTGGGGGCGGGGGGTTGCTCCCTGTTTCTCTTGTACTGGAGAGCCCAGGAAGTGAGAGCAACTTCTCAGTGCTTGTTGACTTAGTCATGCACTCTGGGCTTTGGGTGACTTGTGAGCTACAGTGGTTTCCACCAGTTCAAGAGGCCTGTGGTGGCATTGTTGATGTACTTAGTCATCTTGAAGAGATAGATGAGGCAATCATTCCTTTCTTTCCCTTACATTGGCATGTAAGTGCTGAATAAGTGACCCTTATCAACAAGGGGAAAGCCAGACATGGCTCAGTGGTAGAGCACAAGTGTTGCATGCAGGAGGTCTCAGTTTGATCCCTGAAGTCTCCAGGTAGGGCTGGAAAAACTCCTGCCTGCATCCCTGGTGAGCCTCTGCCCACCAGTGTTGGCTGGACCAATGTGCTGATTCAGTGGAAGGCAGCTTCCTGTGTTCCAGAGCTCTTCCCCATGGCTCACACATGAAATTCTTTGGTTTTGCACTAGCACTTCCACACAAGACTGACTTTAATACCTGGCATTTTTTTTGTTTGGGCACAGGAGGCCGACTCTAATTCCCTGACTGCTGACAACCTGGAGAAATTTGGTAAACTGAACTGCTCTCCAGGAGTTCCTGAGGAAGGGACTCTCCTCTCAGAAGCCAAACTTCAGAGTATCATTAATTTCTTGGATGAGATGGAGAAATCTGAGCAGGAACGACCGAGGTCTGCTGCCTCTGCGTCACAACGAGAGGTGAGCCCCAGGCATGAGATTGAGTTTCAGTAGACATGAGAATGGGCAAAGAGGAAGCATCTGTCTCTACCCCATGAAGCAATTGGCATTGCAAGCTGCTATGTCTATGCTGAGTTAAGGAATGCATCTTGCTTCAGTATTGATTTCCAGCAACATGTTTTCATTGCATGGCCCTTGAGAAGACTTGTATAATTGGACATGCCTAAGGAAAGCAAGTGCATGGTTTACAGCCAGGAGAATGTAGGTTGAATCGCTTGGGGGTGATGTTCCACTGCATACTGATTGATTAGTCTACTGACGTGACCAATAGTGAAGCGACGCTTTCCATCCTTAGAGTAGACTGCTGAGGGAGGCAGGGATTATCCCTCATTCTGGCTTATTCCTTTGCTGGTTGTTATGTCTGTCAAGGGGCTTTTGTCAGAAGAAGAGCTGGCTCACCTGGAGCAGGCCTCAGCAGTTGCCACAGAAGTCACCAGCTCTATCATGCGACTGAAGCTGGAGGCAGAAGAGAAGAAAAGAGCCATTACATTGCTACAGACAGCACTGGTGGGTGACCAGAACTTAATTCCTGGGCGAGTCGTTAAGTTAGGGGTCCTCAAACTTTTTAAACAGGTGGCCAGTTCACTGCCCCTCAGACTGTTGCAGGGCCGGACTATAGTTTGAAAAAAAAAATGAACGAATTCCTATGTACACTGCACATTAAAAATTAATTAAAATTAAACTAAATTTAAAAATTAGTTAAAATAAAAATACATTTTAAAATAATTAAAAAATAAAAAAATGTTTGCTTTGCTTGCTCTGGGCTGCAGCAGAAGCCCAAGATGAAGTGGGGAAGAGCATGTCCCTATTCAAGGGACTTAGCTACAATGTGTGTGATCATCCTGGGAGGGAGGGGAAGATGGACGTGATCACACTCGTGCAGGGAAGGCAGGTGTGATTACGGCCATCTCCCCGCCCCCACCCCCAGCACGACTGCAATCGCACCCATCTTCCCTGCACGAGTGCAGCCACGGCCAGCTCCTCACTGAGTACGCCTGCACTGGCTCAGAGCTTTTGGACTCACTTGGAGATCGTTTTCTCCGAGCAAGTCCAAAAGCTCTGTGGTAGGCCAGATCTGGCCCATGAGCCATAGTTTGCGGACCCACGCATTAAGTGCTAGAGAAGAGGGAGACTCTGGATTTTGGGGATTTAATTTGACTGACTCTGCATACTCTGCTTTTGGATGTCCTTAATATACACAGGTTATTTTCTCCTCTCCTGGCAGACTCAGCAGCGGGAGCTGACAGCTCGGCATGTCAAAGAGACAGAAAAGGAGCTCAGCCGTCAGTTGGCATTGCAGAGGGAGCAGTATGAGGCAGCTATCCAACGGCACCTGGCCTTCATTGACCAGGTAACCAGCATGCCCTCCATTTGGCGGGTGGGGCCTGCAAAGGTAGAAACATTATTCTCATCCCTGCTTGTCTGCAATCCCCTTCTAGTCTCCTTTATTCTGTTGGCATGGGTACACTTTAAAAACCCATCCCAGTGCCAGCTAGCATTTTACTTCAAGGAGCAGTGCTCAGCTAGGCTGGTGGGTATGCACTTTCTGATAACTGGTTTGCGTATCAGTAAGATAGAGTTGCTCTGAATTATTCTTTATATTTGTCCCCTTAGCTCATTGATGATAAGAAGGTTCTGAACGAGAAGTGTGAAGCAGTGGTGACTGAACTGAAGCAGATTGATCAGAAATACACAAAGAAGATTGCCCAGATGCAGGAGCAGCATGAGCTGGTGAGGAAAAGGCCTGAGCACGGGGGATGGGGGAGTACAGCACAACTTGCTAAGAGTATCTGAATGGTTCACATTTGGATCACAGGTAGGACCTGGGTGACACCGAATGCAATTTGTAGTGTCTTCGAGAGAGCTAAGCAGATCATGAGAGCTACCAAGTACTGGAAGAGGAAGGAAATGCTACAGCTTTCTGAAATATATAAAGCATGCTTTTCATACAGTGGGTTCTCATTTCCTTTAGTTCTCTATATGATGGGGAATGTCTCCAACTATACGAGTAGGCCACCTGATGCCCTCCATAAATTTTTACTGTGGGTCCCATCATTCCCAGGCAGCATGGGCAGGAATTGTGGGACATGTTGTCCAAAAACCTGAAGAGGATCTGATTGCCTTACCACTGAACTACATCATAACAAACTTGACTGGATGACTCTCAGCTAAGAGAGTCATCAGAACATTTTGTTTTTTTGCATATCGGATACACTGCATTTGATTATCCTGCTATGCCTGAGTGGTCAAGCTGCTGACTTCTAAAGATTATGTGGCATGATGCATTTGAACTTCCCTGCCCTTATTTAGCAAATGGAGAGTGTTTCCTACAAAGCAGGGCAGTTGTTTTAAATCTGAAATGAGAGATGTTGATATTTGAAAAGAAGTGGGGGCTTACAACTGTGACAGGGAATCTGTAAGTATGGCTTAGAGTGCTTAAAAATATTTCCAGCTCAGCCTGCTGGAGTTGGAGGAGCCATGGCAACATGCATTTCTCCAGTTCTTTCTGTGTCTGGATGACTCATGTAATGGTGATATTGATCTGGGTTCGTGGAGTTGTACTAAAATGACTTCAATAAAACATTTGGGCTCAGTGGGTGTTCACTCTCTTTTTTTCTGGATACCTGCTCACATTGAATGAAACTGGGTAAGAATGGGCTAGAGAGCACAGTGCCTAAGACTAATGCATTTGAGATTTTCCATCTTTTACAGTGGGTATAATAGGTTCCCATCAACCTGGCTGTTTACAGGAACATGGTAATAACCACACAATATGAGGACAAAACTTTATTTATTTATTTATTTATTTATTTTATTTTTCGATTTCTGTCCTGCCTTTTTCCTACAAAGGGCTCAAGGCAGCTTACATCATTCTCCTCCTCCATCTTATCCCCACAACAACAACCCTATGAGGTAGGTTGGGCTGAGAGTCTGTGACTGGCCCAAAGTCACCCAGTTGGCTCCATGGCTGAGCAGGGACTAGAACCCAGATCCTCTGAGTCCCAGTCCCATGCTCTTAACCACTACACCACACTGGGTCAAATTTGTAGCAAAGCAGTAGATGCATTACTGTTCCCAAGCCAGTGGGATTACCTGAGGTACTTGTGTAGAATCATTTCCATACCCCCTGCCATTTATTTCCCTAGAAGAGGCTTCAGAATGGCAGAAGACATTCTGCCCTATACTGTCATTAGTCTTTCTTACAAGGCCTACCATAATGGCTTCATTTTGATTATAGCTATAAGTAACTGGAGAAAGGTAGCTATGCATTGGAATTAGTGGACTGAACTGCCCCGTGCCGTCCCTCATAACTCACTAATGCTTACTAAACAAGTATTTTGAACAGGCTTCTGATACGCAGTGCTAAATTAGGTAGCTTTTGGGTCTGATCCAATATGGCTAGTTTTTGGCAGTTACTAAAATGTGTACCATAGTTCTGGAGGTGGGTAAATGTGGATTCCATGCTTCCATCTTTTTATAGAATCAGCAGCACCACAGAGCAGACATGGCTGTTTTTGTGGCATAGTTATCCAGCGAGGGGAAACTGCAGACAGAGAGGGATCGCCATCAGTTCAGGATTCACATTGGCAAAGCTGCCTGCTCTAAGGGAGCCCCGCTTTGCTTTTGTTTTGCTGTTCACTTCTTTGAAACACACCCTTCTTATCAAAGGTGGAAAGAATTTTAGTGCTTGGATTAGCCTTGCTTTGGGAATCATTTTGAACAGATGCAATTGGCCTGTTTCTTCACCCTTCAGCGTTATTAGAGCAAATTGTTTTTAAGCCATCTATGCCCTAAGGAATACTCTTGTTTCAATTCAGTTGCTTCCTTTCACCTTTTCTCCATACCCTTTCTCTGTTTCTCTTCTCAACTCTTCCTCTTTCTATTTAGGTCTGGCGCACTCTGGGCCCCCTTTGTGAGGTAAACCTTTTCTGTGCATGTTCTTTAACTTCAGCCTTCACCCCTTTCAGCTGTCTGGCTCCTCTATGTGCGACTGTTCCTGAATGCTTTAAGTGGTACCAGGCTTATCCTCACTTTGGGTTATAAACCAGGCAGGTATTGCAGCTTGAGTCAATGAGCTGTTCTTTGACATGGTCTAGTGCTTCATTGGTCATATCAGAGGCCATTCAAGGATTAGAACCACTACCCTACTGAACAGCCTTTTGGTGGAGCTGTCTATGAAACAAAATAAATCAACATTTCTCAAGTGCTTTAGCCTGCTTTTTTGCCACCACACACATCTTCTATAGTGGCTTAGCACAGTAGATAGACCAGGTTCAAATTCCCACCTATTCATACAATTCAGTAACTAGATTTGAACCAGACTAGAGACAAATGACAGGTGGTAGTAGGTAAGGGAAGGTACTGCTGTGGGATGTGTACTGCCATTTTTTTTCACACTTCAGGTCTCGCGATTTAATGAAGGTGTGTCTGATCCATGTTTTATCATTTTCTTCTTTACACACAGGAAATAAAAAAGTTGAAAGAACTCATGAGTGCCGCAGAAAAGATTCGCCGGGAGAAGTGGATTGATGAAAAAACCAAGAAGATTAAAGAGATCACTGTTAAAGGTACTCATCGTAGACCTGTGTTCCTAGATCATGTCCTTGCACCAGGAGCTGCCTTTCTGTGTAGCATTAGTGGGACCACAGAACTGACATCAGTTGGAACTATTGCTTCCCTATTCCTAAAGCGGAGCCAGTACAATGCCTGAGGAGTTGGGAAAGGGGAGGATTCCAGTCCCAGATCAGCCTTTTGGTGCAAAGAAGCTTCATTTACAGTAACATTAAGGAGCAAAATCAATTATGTTTGTCTGGTCCTTTCTTAAGGCATTGTTCCTTTGCTTTATGTTACTAGAATCACAGGTCAGATTGTTCTCCTTCACGGTCTCTGTGCATTACACATATGGACTTTGCGCCTGCACAGAGCCTAGAATCAGGAAAAGCTTTTAAAGCTAAGTGTTCTAGTTGTTGTGGGAACTCCTCCCTGTCCTGTTTCCAGGAGGCAGTTGGAGGCGCTCCTTCCCATTCCCTCAGTTCATTTTTGACCACCATTGAGCATAGGCAGGAATCACCTTCTCTCCTTTACTCGCCTCTTAGGTACTAGCATTCTCTTTTCCTTCGTGATCCTCACTAATCCTTTTTTCATTCTCTTGATAACTCTCCATTGTTCCTCTAATTACTCTTTCCTTTTGAAAAAAATACAAAAATACTACTTTCATCCCACTTTACTACCCTTCCTAAAGTCTAGCCTTTTTCTCTCCTCCTCTGCTTGATCGTACTCCCTTGGTAGCATTGGGACTTTTTTCAAAAAATGCTAAGATTTTGGCAACAGAATCCCCCCCATCTGACAGGCATGACCTGTGTCTTCTCTGCTTCAGGAAGGCCACTGATATATGCCAGATCTTTATCAAGCAGACCCCAAAAGAACAGATCTTTCAACTTAAGGCTGCCCTCTGGAAGCAGGCCCTCCAGATGGGAGTGGCTGGTACCAGGCCTTGCTGGTGGACTGGTACCAGGGAATGGAACTGACTCTTCAAGGGGGTTCAGCTGCTTGCCCCTCCACATGTGTGCCAAGAGCTCCTCCAACTGAGCCATGAAGGAGACACTCTCTGAGAACCCACACCAAGAGGGCCACAAAATGCCCTACAAAGATGCTAAAATACATCAATGGCTTGAGGAAATGTTACAAAAATCTTTAATAATTAAACCTGAAGTCTTCTTATTAGGCATTGTGCCTGATGATGTTGACAGACAAGCAATGTATTTGATTCTACATGTAATTACTGCGGCAAGGATTGTATTTGCCCAACATTGGAGAAGTGAAGAACTACCCAATTATGAACTGATTTTAAAAAAGATTCTTTGCTGAAATGGACAGGCTGACTTTCTCTCTGAAGGAGAAAGAGGGTACATACTTCTATCAAACTTGGAACTCATTTTATTATTGGCTAGAGAAACGGGACTGTGTGTAGATTTGAATATGTCTACAGATTGCTATAAAAAAATAGGGGGCTGACCCAGTAGGTCTGATGTCTCTGATGATTGATGTTTTTTAGTCTCTTTTTTTTAGTTTGTAGAAAATAATAATAAAACTTACTTTAAAAAAAATGCCCTACAAAGATGGCCACATCCACTGTGCCAAAACAGAAATGTGTGTGCTGCCAGAGCCCCACCAGGCCAGGTACCCCCACCACTGGGTTCCCAGAGCCCACTGGCTGACCAAGCACCCCGTAGACCCTAGAGGAGCCCCCCATCATGCCAAGGGATCAGCCCACAGAAGACCTTGCTGCTTCCCTGGACACAGCCGTGTCCCACCCCAACACTAACCAGCTCCACATTCCAAGATGTGCTTGGCACAACAATGCTTCACCGGGCAAGACTCGCCACCAAGAAAGGAGACCAAGGGACACTGGGCTCATTCCCACTCACACCTCTCTGATCAAGAGTGGATCTCCAGTGCATCACTGCCTCCCATCCACTTCAGAGACGTCTACGACCTCCCCAGCGAGGACGAGCTAGCCCCTTGAACCATGCCAGTACCAGGCACCAGTACCAGGACAACTGCTTTGACAGCCATTGCCTTTGCTGGTACTGTGTCCTTCGCTGCCTCTCTGAGATGCTGCTATCCACCAGCAGCCACTTTCTGACAGCCAGTGAGGTGGCATCATACTATGACCATCATGTGGTATCACACTGCTCCCAAGGCCCGGTACTGAGCCTCTGCCATTCCTTGGTACCAGACTGCCACCAAGCCCTGGTACCAGCCACCCATTGCCCTTGGATACCAGGCCATGACCACCACTCCATGCAGGGTCACTGCCACTCCCCAGTCCATGGTACTGGACTGCCACCACTCAGCAGTATCATCCACCTCAGCATCCCAGCACCCACCAAGTCTGTTTTCCTACTCCAGCACAGAGGATTATGAGTTGAATGAGAGTCTGTGGTCCCCCTGAAGCCCTCTGAGCCTTCCCTGGATGCTGCAGCTTTTCAACAGGACCCTGTGTCTCCCTTAGAAGAGAGGAGGTGCTTCACAGAGCAGGTGCTTCAGATGACTGAGGACCTCATCCTCAAGATGATGAGTGTCAGCAGTACTGCATTGCCAACCCCCCATATGATGCTCTGCGTGTTGAGAGCTCCACACCTGTGGCCATTCTGCCCTCACCGGCCCTGTTCCAGGTGGTGAGATGGTCCTGGAACTCCCTGGTAGCTTCCATGTCAATATCAAAGAAGGCAAAATCCACTTACTGGGCGCAGGAGATGGCTGCACCTTTCCTATTGCAACACTCCAAACTGCTCTGTTATAGTGGAGTCTGCACAGAGAAGCTCCCAGAGAGAGTATTCAGCCCTGGTAGATTGGAGGGCTGCTGCCTCAACAGCCTTGCAAGGCAAATCTGTGTTGTCTTGGCCCTTGGACTACGTGTCTCTGAGGCCACCATGGCCTGATACCAACTCTTTCTGTGGGAGATGGTCAGGTTCATGTGTTAGCACCTCTCAGGGGAGCTAGGGGACGCCTTCCTTCTCCTGTGCTCAGAGCTATCCAAACTTTCCAAATACCAGCCGGAGACAGCTGGGCAGCATGTAGATTCTGATGCCAAGGCCATGATGGGGGCAGTGGCCATACGCCAGCATGCCTGGCTATGCTTTACTAGCCTCTCACAGGAGACATGGGTCCAAATCAAGGATCTCCCCTTCTATGGAGAGGAGATGCCTACTTCCACCTTGTATTTCACTAGAACTATAGACATTTGCTATGCTTCCTGATCGGGGAGAGAATCTTCCAGTTCTCAGTCCTCCCATTTGGCCTCTGCACAGTGCTCAGGGTCTTCACAAAATGTATAACATTGGTTTGCGCATACATATGACTCCAGGGAATCTATGTCTTCTCCCACCTTAACAACTGGCTCCTGATGGCCCTGACCAAGATTGAGTTGTGCCACACCAGTCGCACCACTGCTATAGTACCTGGGACTATGCCAAAATTATGACAAATCTGTTTTCTCCCCCTTCCAGTCCACACTCTTCATAGGGAGCCACCTCAACTCAACCACAGCAAAGGTATTCCTGCCAGAGCCTAGGGTTGCAGTACTGCAAAACCTGGCAACCAACGTCAGCATAGCAGAACATGCCGTGGCTCACAAAATCCAGAAACTTCTTGGACTCGTGGTGTCCACAGTGGTGGTTGTCCTCTTCACCAGACTACAGATGAGGCCTCTTCAGTTTTGGTTTGTCCACAGCTAACACCCAGAAGATGACCCCCGAAACAGCCTGCTCATACCGAAACCCACTCTTGGTTTGGACCATCCTGCACAACCTCTTGATAGGCATCGGCTTCCTACCTGCAGACGCTCCATCATGGTCACTACAGAAACCTCCACCTCAGACTGGGGAGCACATTGCAACAGTCTGAGGACACATGGGTCATGAGACCACCACAAGGCAAGACACCACATCTACGTTCTGGAGATGCTGGCTGTCCACAAAGCTCTCCTCTCCATCCAGAACACCCTCCTAGGCCAACACATGCAGATTGCCACCAACAACACCACAGTGATGTATTACATCAACAAGCAGGGCAGCCCATGTTACATCTCACCTACTACAACCATTTGGGATTAGTGCATCACCAGATGCACCATCCTTGTGCCAATCCATGTGGCAGGCAAAGGCAGTGTCTGAACTGACACCCTCAGCTGCTCATGCCTAGACACCCAAAAATGGGAGCTGCACGAGACAGTGGTAGCAGACAGCGCATTACCAGTGGGGACTACCATCCCCACTGTTTGCCACTTCCTGAAACACCACCTGCCTATAGTTCTGTTTCAGAGCAGGACAAGGGACTGGCACCCTCGAAGATGCCTTCCTCCACAAATGGACCAGGATCCTACCTATTCCCACCCTTCCTCCTGGTCACCAGTGTGACATCCAAGATCCAGAGGGACCAAACTGACTGCATCCTCATAACCCCCTGGTGGCCACGGCAACCTTGACTTACTTGTCTTCTGAAGAAACCATTCTTGTCCCCATGTCTCATGACCTGCTCTCACAAGACGGGCTGAGTCCTTCATCTACCTTCAGGACCCTGAAACTCAAGGTGTAGAGGATCACAAGTATGAGCCTACCATCAGAAGTGCCCTCTATACTGGATGTGGCCCTCAAACCATCCACACAAAAATCCTATGCAGCTAAGTGGAGTGCCTTCATCCCGTTTGCCCGCCAGGATGGCTTTGATCTTCTTCTGTCCTCCTATTACTTAAACCTGCTTCAGGGAAAGGCTAGGCCCCTCCTTGATATGTATCTACCTGGCATTGATCTCCTCTTTCCACCGATCACTCCAAGGAGTCTCCATCCTCATGCAACCCCTGGCACCCAAATTCCTTAGAAGATTCTGCAAGATATCCCCCTCCGCCAGACTATACCCCAGTGTGGAATCTCTCGGTCATGTGACATGTGCTCACCAGAAAGCCCTTTGAGCCTCTCGCAATCTCTGCCTCCGCTCCTGAAAGACAGCCTTCCTGGTGGCCATCCCATTGACCCACTGCATCCACAAGCTCTGTGCCCTCTGGATGGATCCACCATTCCTCATCTTCCACCAGGACAAAGCCGTCCTACACCTGGACCTGGCCTTTCAGCCCAAGATCACCTCCGCATTCCACCTCAATGAAGACATTGTGTTTCCCTCCTTCTCTGCCAACCCATTCACAGCATTAGTGTTCACCTTGCATCTACTGGATGCCAGAAGAGCACACACCTGCTACAAGCCCAGAACTGAACACTTCTGCTATTCACCCAGGATCTTTGTACACTATAAAGGGGAAAAAAGGGACTCTGTCTCCTCTCAAAAACTGTCCAAATGAGTTGCCAGCACCATTGGCCTGGCTCACAGGATCACCAGTCTCCAGCTCACCTTGCAACCCAGAGCCCATGCCACTCAAGCCTTAGCCACCTCCATGGCCTTCCTCATTGGAGTCCCACTTCAGGATGTCTGCAGAGCTGCCATGTGATAATCCCCCTTGACCTTCATCAAGCGCTACAGACTGGATGTCCGAGCAGGAGCAGACCTTGGTTTCAGCAGGGTTGTGTTCTCCTCTGTGCTCCAATGGGGACAGCTAAGTTACTAGTCACCCATATGTGTGATGCACAGAGACCACGAAGAAGAAAGGTAGGTTGCTTGCTTGTAGCACTCGTTCTTTGAGTGGTCATCTGTGCACTCACATAACCTACCCTCTGGCCCCACTTACTATTATCCTTCTTAAACATTTTTTTCCCCTTTCCTGTGGAAGTTTGGGGCCCAGAAAGGTCAGGGGCCACCTCTCTCCTATCTCTGATTCAGAGACTCCCCTGGAACTGAGGGAATGGACAGGAGCCTCCTTGAAACACGAACGGGAGGGCTCTCACCCACAACTTGAATGTTTAGCTTCTGAAGTTATTCCCTGTTCTAGGATCTGCACAGGCATGAAGTCCATATGTGTGAATGCACAGACAACCACCTGATGAACAACAGTTACAGGTAAGCAACGTGCATTTCCTGGCTGCTCTCTTTCCATGGCTCAGGTCTGATATTAACATTTTTTTTGGAACTGAAATCAAGGTGACCAGGACATATCTCTGTTAGGGTTCTAAGAACTTAGAATTATATCCTTGTAATATACTGCCAGCAAGTCCCCCATCTTTCCTCAGGTCAGTCAAAAGTTTCCAAGCAGCCTAAAGTTGTTCAGGGTGCCAGTTCCCTTCATTTCAAGAAAATGTTGTGCATATTTTCAGTATTTAATCTATTTTCATTACAGTGTTTACCCTTCTTTGAAGTTTAATTATTTTAACAGGCAATCATATAGGCAAGCAGCTGCGGGCAGGGGTCCTTGCTCTGGCAGCGGCCCTGGCCTTTTCATGCATGCACATTGTAATCATGTCATAATTGTCCCCCCATTCTTTCCTCATTCAGGATTGGAGCCTGAGATCCAGAAACTAATTGCTAAGCACAAGCTGGAGATCAAAAAGCTGAAAGCCCTGCATGAGGCAGAGCTCCTGCAGTCAGATGAGCGAGCAGCTCAGCGCTATGTCCGTCAGGCTGAGGAGCTGCGGGAGATGCTGGAGCACGAGAAGGAGGAGCAGAGCCATCGAGAGAGAGAGCTAGCACGGCAGCGGTATGCATGGAGCAGCGAGGCAGCTTACATGGCAGGTTTATAAAAAAGAATGGGAGAACTGAAGAGGAGTTTCAAAAGCAGAGCAAGAGAGGAGTTGGCAAGGCAAGCAGAAGAACTGGAGATCTGAATGGCAGCAGTTCAGGGAAGGGAAGACGACATGGCCTAGGAAGTGGGTGGGGGTCCCATAAATCTCTGCCAGCATGCCTAATGGTAAGGAATGCTGGGAGCTGAAATCCAAGTATCTGGAGAGCTACCATCTGCCCGTTCCTGGTGTAAGAAAGAAATGAGGCACAAAAGCAAAAGGCGGCAGAAAACAAGTTGCTTGCGTATAGCATTCCTGCTGGACATTCCAAAGAGCCACTGCATCTTTTTGGAAGCAGTCATGCCCTCCCAACTGTATGGACAGTTCACTTAGCAGAGGGTGATGTAGCTGGGAAACAGCATTGTGGTGTTATCCTGGCAGCCAGTCTTTGCATCAAATGGAGAGAGAGAACAGCTAAACAGAAGGAAGTGGGCAGCATTTTCTGCAGGATTATTTGCACACCTACTCTTACCTTTATGGTATTCCTGCTGAGTCTTTACTCCAGACTGCCTCATTGCTTCACTTTCCATGCTTCTGCAGCTTCCATGTCTCTTGCAGGAATGCTGGTCCCTTTTTACGGTAGTGTGCCTCATGACTGAGTCTTTAAAATGACTATCTGTATCCCCCAAAAGGAGTGTCTGTGCTCTTACATTTTCTCCCAGCTGAGGGAATAAGTTGCCTTACTGCCTTCTCCTAAACATTGGGCTGAGCGAAGCGGAAAACTCTCTTAGTAGGACCCTCTCTAAAGTAGTCCTTCTGCACAGGTATGAGAAGCAGCTGGAGCAGGAGGAGCAAGCTATGCAACAACAGCGGCGCCGGCTGTACAGCGAGGTGGCTGAGGAGAAAGAGAGACTCAATCAGCAGGCAGCCAGGTGAGAGAAGGCATGCTGCATTCAAAGCCGGTGGCTGTGTCGACCCTCATGGTTTTGCACGTGCACATGGCCAACGGGGAAATAACTCAGAAAGCCCTGGAATCCCACAAGGTAATCCTAACACGAATACATCTGATGTCCTCTACCTGGAGTATATGCTTTCCATTATCAGCATCTTGTACTTTATACTTAAAGTACTTGCTGAGAGAGGACCAATTTTTCACCCACAGTGGAAATGTAAGCCATGAAAAGCAATTTTGCAGGTGCAGCTTCCACAATGGCAATGCACTGCAAAATGCTAGAAACATTATGGCTCATTTTATTGGAGAATGTTATCTCCCTCCCCCTTCAGTCCTGTACAAGTTGCCTATTCTGGGAAGGTTTCCAAGAACAAACTAAAACCCCTGATTTCTCAATTTCTCCCGAGAGGGAAGGATTGACTTACCAACTGGGCATTGTCTGTTCGGTGGTATTAATTTCTGCTCCACAGGCAGAGGGCTGAGCTGGAGGACTTGCGGCGGCAACTGGAAGAAAACAGCTCTGTTGTCATCAAAGCGTTGAAGGAAGAATATGAGAAAGGAAAAGAGGAGCAGGAACGCCGTCATCAGGTCTCTGTTATTCAGCAACCCTCAGGCTTTCTGCATCATACATCCAAGAGCCTCTTGCTTACCAAACAGGGTTAGGGGGGTAGCAGGACACTGCATCTGCTTGCTCACTGGTTTCTGCTCTTGATATGCTGGAGCTTTAAATACATCTTGAGCTCTTGTTGGTCAAAAAGCCTCCTCAGATCCTCCAGCGAGCGTTCCATATTATGCAGAAATTGTCTCCTGCGTGTACTCATGCTGCCCTTGTCAGACCCTATTGAACTCGGACACATTCCCCAGGAGGGACGGCATGCTGCAGGGGCCAGCTGCTTTCAGCTGTGGCTGGAATGAATGCGATCCCACAAAATGAAGCCCAAGGTTGGAGAAAAGTGTTGTTTTTAAGTCAGTTGAAGGTGGCCTGATAGAGGCATCATTTCCTGTGCTCTATGCCCCCCCCCCCTTTTTTTTTGCTTGCTTATGCTGTCTTTTCTGAACAGACAGATTTTAGAAACTATCAGGGCCATCACTGTCTCATTGCATTATTAGTTCTGGCAGGGAAAAACTGTCTACAGAGCCAGTGCTCTGGCCCCAAGTTGCTGCAAGCTAAGGTTGTCCTCACTAAACCCATGACTCATGCAAAGCAGAAAAGCAGAATGAAGCCAGTCTACCCCTCCATCTTCCCATTGAGAGAGTGCTGTATGGTAAAGCAGAATAATTCTGGCCCTCTTTGGAGCATCCATTTGGTACACACTGACCAAAATATCCCTGTCTGTGTGCACTTTTGACCTGAAATTCTGGTTCAAGACTCCCGTCAGTTTTAGTACATAAGGAAATTTGAAGGCGGGTGTGGTTCCAACCCCGCTTCCTTTTCACTGTGCTCGTTTCTCCTTCCTCAAGGCAGAGATGCAGGCCCTGAAGGTACAGCTGGAGATAGAAAAGCAGACCTGGGAGGCTAACTACCTGAAGAAGCAGGTAATTTTTGCAGTTCCCTTTTTAAGCCACACTCTCACAAACTTGTGTTCATTCAAGTGAAACCTCCCTGGTCTCTCCCGTATTGCCCTCAGGAGGCCTGGCTGCTCACTCGGGAACAAGAACTGAGGGAAGAAGTGCGGAAAGAGAGGAACAGGGAGATTGAGATGGTCATCCAGCGGATAGAAGCGAACATGAACGCTGCCAAGGACGAGTATGATAAAGTCGCAGAGAACAGGTCAGAGGCTGCTGCCACAGTTTCCAGCCCTGCGCCTTAATGTGCCTTCTGCACTTTGGCTCAAGCCTTGCATAAGCCAGTCTAATTCCATTTGCCAGTATGGGCCTCGGAGTACAATTGGGCAGGGCATCACAGGCAAGAAGCAGTTCTAGCCAGGTATACGTATCTGCTCGGCTTGCACACATATTTGGTCGCTTGGCTGTAAAAAAACTCTTAGCTTCCCTGTTGGAAAACTGCAAATGATTGGTGATGGCTGTTAGGCTGAAAGAGAGGGAACACAGGCTAGTGTAAAGCACAGGAGCCCTGTTTTCTGAGTGCTTGTGTGTTTGGAGAACAGATGCTTGGAAAGATAATTGATGAAATTTGTAGTTGGAATATAGTAAGGAGATTGTGTATTTTTAGGTTTTTGCTAGTGCTTTTTATTAAGCCTTGAAGGGAGGGATTATGCCTCAGCCTGTGTTTGTATCATGGGCTGTGATGTGGGTGCTGTGCCCAATGCATTATTTACTTGAACTCATTTCCACAATGCCTTGCTATATGGACAGGTTTGTTACAGAAAGTGGAGACATGGCAGTGCAAATTCCATTACAACCTTATCTGGAAGGAGCAGATAACCTGTTCCACACCTAAGTAGATTCAGGAGTGGTGAGAGATTCCGGAGCACACTCAAAGTCATGGTAAATTCAAAAAGAGAGGGAATGTTGCTCATTCTAGACCCAGACAGGTCCAAGCCTAGCAGCAAAGCAGTTTGGCCATTGGTATTTTCTTCAGTCCCCACATTTATCAAATGTTGTTTGGAGCCATATTGTGCCAAACATTTCCCCTGACACAACTGGGAATTGCTCCCAGATTCCAGCTATTTAGTCATGAGGTCTTTCCTCTTTTTATTCAGAGTAAATAGGGTGCGGGATAAATATGAAGCAGAACTTCATGAACTGCTTTGGTCAGAACGTAAGTTCCAAGAGCGCTGCAGCGATTTGAAGGGACGACTTTCAGAGGCAGAAAACGTGGCTCTTCATCTGCAGGACCTGCTGCGGCAGAAGGAGCAAGAGACAGAGGATATCCGAAAGGTGGGTATGTCATACAGAATGCAAGCAGTGGATTCCAAATAACTTTTTCTTTCTCTGATAAGTTTCTCTCCAGAGCTTCTCTCCTAAACTTGTGAAAATAGGTAAAGTAAGGAGGAATTGTGGAGACCTTGACCACATCCTCTCAAGGGTGAGAGCGGTGGTTGAATTTCTGTCTTTAAACAGAGCTAAAGGACCTGGGAATCTAGTTGGTGTGAACTGCTGAGAAAAGCTCTGGAGGCTTACATAGATCTAAAGATACAAATTTTCAGGATCTGAAAGAGGCCTAAACATCTTTTGCTTACTTGAAGTCTGACATCAGCATTTCTTTGTGCTTGCTGTAACAGGTAAGGGACCAATTAGCCCAGGAACGCAGCAGCCTTTCTGAAGTAATCCGGCAGGAGTTCGCTGACCGGCTGGTGAGCACAGAGGAGGAGAACAAGCGACTCAAGGCAGAGATGGCTGAACTTCGTGCTCGCCAACGCTTGGAGCTGGACAGACTGACGCGGAACAAAGAGGAGGAGCTAGAGGAAGTGCATAAAAGGTGAGAATAGCATGAGCCCTCCTGAGTAAGAGTTCCAATCAACTTGGCATGAGACTGGAACCATGAGCTGACATATCCAAATGACTTTTGTAGCTGTTGCCATTCCTCTCCCTGCCCTTGCCAAACGCACACGACATGCGCTCTATAAGGGGTACTCCAGCAGCTTTGCTGAGGTGCAGACTTGTCAAATGATTCTCGTTGGTGCTTCAGCAAATAGCTGTATGCTCTTCTGTATACTGAATGCACTGTATACTGGAAATGTAGTTAAAATTTTGTGCTCCAGTGACTGCGCTTCTGCTCCCAGAGAAGCTGACTCTGTGATCTGTGTAAATGTATGCAAGTAATGAATACTTTGCAGGACATGTTCTGCTTCTTTCAATCATGGGGAAGGAAGGTCAGAGACCTGTGCTTCCTGACCAACAGAAAGCCTCTTGCACAATTTAGAGACTGCACTAGTATAGACCACACAACCATGTCCAGTATCCACATGTTCATAGATCCTCCAGCTGACAGATTGCACTGGAAGCTAGGAAAGAATCAGCCTGGGTATATGACAAGATTTAATTTAATTCCCTGTTCCTAAAGAAATTACAACCTTTTTGCAGTCACTGCAGTTGCGTGCATGCATTTAGTGCGTACAAAGGGTCTGTTTACACCGACTGCTGCACATGTGTACATTGGGAGCAGGGCCTACCACTGCATTCCTGCTCACTGCTGCTGCCAGCACTGCATGCTCTCACCACTGGTTATTTCATAAGGGCTTACCACTACTTTGAGGCCTTTGAATTGTGGTGCTGGAGGAGACTCCTGTGAGTCCCTTGGACTGCAAGGCGATCAAACCGGTCAGTCCTAGAGGAGATCAACCCTGACTGCTCTTTAGAAGGCCAGATAGTGAAGATGAAACTCCAATACTTTGGCCACCTAGTGAGAAGGAAGGACTCACTGGAGAAGACCCTGATGCTGGGAACAGTTGGTGGCAAAAGAAGAAGGGGGCGGCAGAGAACGAGGTGGCCAGATGGAGTCACTGAAGCAGTCGGCATGAGCTTGAGTGGACTCCGGGGACGGTGGAGGACAGGAAGGCCTGGAGGAATGTTCTCCATGGTGTAGTGATGGGTCAGACATGACTTCGCAACTAGCAACAAAACAACCACTACTTGAGGCCGAAGCAGGAACAATATTGTCCTTCCAGGACTAGGAACACCCTCCTCCTCTCTCTCCCTCTGCCCCTGCCCTCTCATATGCCAGCTGTGGATGAAGAAAGTGGACAGTGTAAGCGCCAGGGTCTCTATCTCACTTCGCTTTCTCTGTAGAGTGAAGACGGCAATTGTGAAGAAAGAGGAGGCCATGAATAACCTTCGGAAGCAGTATGAGGTGAGCTTCTTGGTGGGCTGCCAGCCTGTTCATTCTTGTCACCATTGCTGCAGAGAAGGAAACCAGGTGGGAGGAGTCGAGATAGTTTTGCCTGGGCCCCAAGGCAGCAAACCAAGAGTGTGGCATAGAAGGCCAGCTCTGCGTTTGCCAGGGAGAAACTGGCTGCTGAGTCACAGAGCTTTTTTTTTTTTTTAACAAGAGTCATTAATTGTACACTTATCATTCCCTACTCATGGTTGTTTATGGGTTCCTTGGAAATGTCTTGACCCTCCAAAGTCACTTTTGCTTTTTCAGAGCACTTTCCTCGTGGCTTTGGATTTTAGTTGTTTGTTCAGTTTTGGTTCTGTACTGTTCTGCTAGTTTTTTAAAGTCAGAGAATGATATATTATTTGTAAAAGCAAAAGAAAATCTATTTTCCTTTTTGTATATTTGTGCTATTCCATATAGTACATTGCTACCTAGAGGTTATTTAGCAGAAAATCAGGAAAGGAAAAGCTCTTGGTGTAGAGCTTAAATCTGTATTTTGTGATGAAACCAAAAGTAGGTACAGTGGATTAACAGCCTTGTGTAGGAAAGCTCACAATTATATAGTAAGTTCAGAGGTAAGCCAAAGTTTGTGGGCTAAGGATATTGAATTTGTTTTTGCCACTACTGCTGTTGCTTTTGTAAATATGTTTGTAGTTCTTCCATGGGTGGGACTTGATAGATAAAATTACTCAAATTTGTAATTTCTGAAAGGTATCGCTAATCTTAAATCCAGCATAATTGTATGCCATCCATCGTAAGGGAGCTGCTCACCCTTGCAAGATTTGGGCTGAGCAATCTTATGAGGGAGGGAACAGGAGAATCCAAAGCAGAGCTTGCTGAGCCCTGCTGGCTCAAGCTGTCACACTGAAAGTAGGCTGGCCTCAGGACTTTTTCCCTTTTGATCTAGCCTTTTGACAGCATTGAGTTTTTTCTGTTTTTTTCCCCCCCTTTTTTTTGGTAATTTTAAAAAATCTCTTCAAGGTTTTCTTTTAATTCTCTCTCATTGCTTCAGTGGGGAGGAAATAAACTACACTGTCTACAGAACTGGTATATTTCTATTCCTCTCTTCCATTCCTAAATGAGGGGTATCCATAGCCTTTTCTGCTATGCCTTCTTTTTGTCATCTTCAGATGGGGCAGTTTTTATATTGGAGAAGCACCAAATGTAGATCTTTAGCAAGTGGGGTCCTATTTATGTAGAGTGGAAGGAGAGATCTGAAAAATCCTGTGATCCCTGAAATGTCTTCCAAGACAAAAGGGTTTTGCCTAAAGCAGCAAAATGCATTTTCTTTGAAGAAAAATTGCTTTTTCAAAATTTAATTAAACCTGTAAACTTACTGCTAGCATATATAGATTGAAACCACAACTTAGGTGGGTAATGGTGAACCATGAGTGATTTAAAATCTGAAGGATCAATGCAGTCAATACAACAGTGTGCTGCTTAGATTTCCATGAAATTCCACAAACATATAAGCAAAATCACTAGTAATTTTATTGGTATATTCTCTTGATTAAAATCTTTCTTGGTTTCTCTTAAAAATGATTTTTTGGCTGACTTTCACGTAGCAAATTGCTCCAAGATGTTTCAAGTTTCAACCACCCACTGTAATTGCTAGCTTTTTATCATTTGTCTGGAATTTACCAGGTTCATCCTGGTACTCCTTAAGACATTCCTAATGATTTTGAAGTCATTGAATTATGCAGCACATTTCTTCTCAGATTAGTTCCTAAAACATGTTAATTTCACATTTCTTTCCATCATTCCCAAATTTTAGGACACTGGTGTCTTCAAGTGCCTGTTTGCAATCCTCTCCAGTATAATTACCCTCCATTTCATGAATCTGGCAAATCTTGTCTGTGACTAAATGTACATCTATGCATCAGTATAAAATGTTCTACTTTCTGCAGAGGAGAATGTACTTTACCGATTTGACCACTTCTGTTCTACTATTCCAAATCCCAAACCATTTTTCTCCCTGCTGAATTTGTAACTATTTCCAATTTGATCTATTTCTCCCATTACATTTAACAATACATGAGAAATTTTGGAAATCAAACTATTTGTCTTGCCCTTAATTTTTCATTGTATTGATCATTTTATATGTATGGGTTCATATTTTTATATGAACTTTGCATGTGACAGAAATGGAGCTTTGTAAAAACACAGAAAATAATTAATTTTCATCAAAGTTTTCTGTTACGTTTTCATAAGAAAGGCTTTGGTCAGTTTCTATCACCACCTGATATTTAACTATTTTTGCATTTTCCCATATCTTAAAAGATTCCCAGGTCAGCCTGTCCGCAAAGCACTTTTATTTGTACCAACTATAGTTTCATAGTTGAATGAAAAAGCAAATGATGTTTTACATACTTGCTCTGGAAGGTTTTCAGAACAAAACACAGAGCCTCACATCCTGGGTAAACCCAGCAGCTGGACTGGCAATCTGTGTCTCGCAGTAGCCACATGTAGATGATTTGGAAGAGAAAACAGGAGCTCTTGGCCAATAGCAGTGTGTGGGCCTCATCCTGTCTTATGTGTATGGCTACTTTAGGGATGGTAAGATCCTCAGTATAAACCTACCATTCTTTCACTCTGCAAGTGGTGTACCTTGAGCAGATTTCTTTCTTCTTTCTTTGCAGGCGGCCACGAAGAGGGCAGACCACCTCGAGTCCCTCTTGGAGCAGCAGCGTAAGCAGCTGCTAGCAGCCAAGTAGCAATCTCTGCCTGGCAAGGACAGAGCCATGTGATCATGCAGAGCAAAAAAGAAAGTTGCTTGTTGTGGCCCAGAAAAGACTCAGATAAAATGAACCCTAATCTGTATGTGAGTGTGGAAGGGATTCTTGCTCTTTGTCTTTTTCTGAAATACGTTTTAACTCAGTCTGTTACTTATGCCTGTGATTTGACCTCTTTCTTGTACAAGGAACCTGGGTGATATCCAAGTTCTTGCCAATGTATTTTAACAGTAAAATCCAGCTGATTTGTAACATGGTTGTTTAGTAATCATTTTCTCCCTTTTAGGAGTGCACTTTATTCTCTAAGGAGGCTAATCTCTCCTAGTTAGAAATTTCCTGTTGACTGGTTCTTCATCCTGCATTGTTCACCCTTTACTTGTCCTTCCAGAGGCTGCTGAATTACATACCTGTTGGCAGTCTTTAGTCTGCAGTTCTTGAAATACTTGACAAACTATGACATCTTCCTGTTCTGTGTAGCCAGTCTGTTCATTTAGGGATAAATTATAAGATTTGTCAAACTCTTTGCCAACCAAAGGTATGTATCCAAGATCACCAAAGATTAGTAATCTCTTTGCATGGCTTATGTGCAACCAGACTGACCAAGGGGCAATACAAGAATAGATTTTTTCTCCGTAACTTTGTAAGAAAGGCGATCTGGAGGGCTGAAGCAAATGTGCTGGTCTCCATGGGTAAAATGCTGACCTGTGCAACCATTCCACATACATCCTGGAATGTATAAACATGCTTATCCTGTAAATTGGTCCATGTTTATGTAATGTTAGCACACCAGAGGTCAGTGGCCTGGGTGGCTAACTCTGCACAACTGAGATTGCAAGCATACATTCATTCAGGTAATTCATTCAATTTTCTGAGATCAGCAGGCTTGTTCCTAAATTATTGGGCAATGATAGCTGATAAGTAGCAGTGTTTTTTCTCCTAATCACAGCAAGTGAAATATTAAGAGTTTATGATCAACTGGCATCATAAGACTGTACTTTTCCACCCCTGTCATAAGGCATTGTGCCAGTAATAGAAGCAAGGCCTACCTTGCCTGGGCTGGGGATGGAATGTGCGCCATCAGTTTAAGCAAGGAAGCAGGTGCAGATACAGTGCTTTGGGCATTGCTGTGATTTGTATAAAATGCATTTTAAAAGTACCCATGGAGCAGAGTGGGCAGAATGTAAATTTCCAGATGTTTTGGACTTCAGCTACCAGAATGCCTTTCCACTGGCCATGGTGATAGGACTTTCTGGGACTTAAAGTGCAAAGCATCTGGAGATCTACTTTCTGCCCAGCCCACCTTAGAGCAAGACAAGACATCCTGCATATAATCAAAGATCCCATGACCTTACACTGATTTAATTTGTAATTTTTTTTATCATAAAGCAGTCTTCACATGCTTGAAAGAACACAGATAATTTTCTACTTTGTGAAAGAAGCACCACGCATGTGTTCAGATGCCCTGAGGCTTAAATGCCATAATTTTTGAAAATAAAAAGTGGACATGTTAAATGCAGTACAGCTGCTTGGCAGCTTTGGACATCTAAGTGTTTGTGCAAATGGCTGCCCTTTCATGCTTTTGCACTTTTGCTCAACTATTGTGCTTGGAATCCCTTGGAGAGTCCATACTTCAGCATCCTAATGTGGAGCATGGCAGTGCCTGTCACAGTAGTAATCACAACTGTACATGAACACTCAGGCTTTTAAATCGCTAATCATGTGAAATCCAGTGTGGGAAAACATTGCTAAAAAGAACAGTTTTCTTTCAGATGGCGGGTGGGAGGGTGGAGGAGGGATTTACTCTGTAGAGTGTACTATGCAAACTACCTTTGGTATGCTGCTTTGCCTAGAATCATGGGGAAATAAATATCCTTGGCCAGGACAGGAGAACAGAGGTAATTATTTCCTTGCTAGGCAATCATGAGGTGTTGGGAAATGACAACTTGGTTGCCACTGGTGGGATTCAGTATTACCTTCTAGGCTCCATTTCTCCAAACAAGATGCAAGTTCCCTTCTAGAAAGGTATTTATTGGGTGGTTGTTGCTGTGTCCAGAAGGTTGTCTTTATTAGGGAAAGGGAAGCCCTGATGGATGCAAATGGATTTCCTGAGTGATTGAAGTACTTGGGAGAACTTAGAACAATTAATGCCCAGATCCAATAGGCTGCAATCAAATGAAGGTGTGAATCCAGAATGGCAATGATTGTGCATTAAGGTGTTGCACTTCAGGCTGTGATTATTTGAGCACAAATTCCCTAGGTGATAAAGCTCAGTACTGTGCAAGTTAATTGAGAAATACGTATGCATAAGATTGCAGCCTCAAGCTCTTGGTGGAACATTTTTTTCCTAGGAGAGATAATAGCCAACAACCCCATCATGATCATTTCACTGTTGAGGAAACCTGGTCTTCCAGTTTGTCTCCTGAGGCCTTGTTGGTTCTAATTAAGCAGAGCTTGGAAAACGTCAGTATTGTTGTTAAATCAAAATACTGTGGGGTATGTTTGGACATCATGCACTATTTGATAAATAAGCTCCTGGACATTTTGGGCTATATTGTAGCATAAGACTTATTTATACCTTGTTCAGAATGTACAATCTTCCTCAAACAGCTGCCTCCTGGATATTTTGAACTACAACTCCCATCTTCCTTGGCCATGCTGGCTGGAGTTGATGGGATAGAACTGATGTGGTCCAAACATCAGGAAGGTAGGTACCACATTAAAGAAGGCTGCTTCAGTTTGGATGTAAAAGTTGCACATAAATCTGTGATCCTGTGTGAAGGAGAACATGCTTGTGCAAGAGTTCTCTGTTGGAATTATTGCTAGATTGTCATCTACAAATGTGTGCCTATAGCACATTAGCTGCTAGAAGCTCTACAAAACTGATGTGATATAGCTCAGAAAGTAATCCTTTGGCCTACCTCTGTATTCCAGTACCAAATTCTCAGCTAATGCAAATGACATTCACAGTAACACCCAAAGGTCCAGACCAATCTCTCCTTGAGTAAATCTGCGGGGAGTTACTCTAGTGTATGACCTCGCCACTGAACACTTGCATGCAACTGTTTAAAGCTTCAGTCTTCCGTTGCTCTGACTGTCCATTTTGAATGCTAATGCCATGTCTTTTCTCATAATTACCACTGTGTGCGTTTATTTTGTATAAGCAGCTCGGCTTTCTGGGCTGGGGGTGGCTTTTCAATTTGCTGGGAGGAACCTTAAAAGCCAGAACTCAGGCAATGACTGGCACGGCATGCTACTCACTTAGGAATGCTGAGGGCAGGCGAGGTGGGTGCTGTCATTCTGTGCAAATATTCCAGTACTTCTTTCTTTCTTGTACTAATCCTCCAATTCGTTCTGTGCACTCTGCTTGATCATTGTAGTTTGCTAATTTCTAAGCCAACACCCCTTTCAGACACGCATAGTACAGCTGCATTATATAACTGATTTATGTAGGGTTTATCTTGGCCAGCAGCCCAGGCCCTACAGTTGTGATGGAGCTTGAGATTGGACTAGCCTTAGCGACAGGCTGGGCCATTACAGGACTGGGCTTTGCAACAGTTATCTGTCATGGGTCAAGGCCCTGCTCGAACATCCAGTTCAATTAAAATGTCATTATCAAGTGAATTGTTTATCACAGTCTAGCGTCTTGGCATCTTCTGAATTCAGATGCTTGATTCAAAGCTACAGTTCTTAATGAAATGTTTGCTGCTTTCAATCACAGTAACAGCAGCAACTTTCCACCTATACAAACAATGTGTATATATTAGACTTTGGATGGCTCAAAGCAAGAGGGCCACTCCAGTATCACTGTTCTTCCACATTTTTAGTCAATGTCAGTAGAAAGACCAATTCTGACCAGGGTATTTCTATGGATAGGAAGATGGGTGGCTGCCTTACTCTGAGTCAGACCATTGGCCTTTCTAGCCCAAAACTGTCATCTGCACTGCAGGGTGTTGGGCAGGGGCCTTTCCTAGCCCTACCTGGAGATGCTGGAGACTGAACTTTAGACCTTCTGCACACAGACCAGGTCCTCCGCCATTAAGCTGCAGTGGCCAACATGGTTGGTATATGAAATGTATGGGGAAAGCCAGCGGTCCAAACTAAGGTCCCTGAAGCAGTAGGAGCAGCCACTGCAAGGGCGCATTCCAGCACATCATGCTCACACTTTTTAAGGGCCAGTTACCTGGATAATGCTCCTCCCGCCCAATTTAAGTGGAGTTGTATGCCGGAATGGGGAAAAAGTGGTCCTCCATGTTGTTGGACTGTCAGTCTCATTAGCCATCATTGCCATAGCCAGTGTGGAGGGATTGCAGCTCAGCAGCGTCTGGAGAGCCACACGTTCCTTATCCCTGTTACAAGCTGAACAGCCCTTTGACTCCCTGGACCTGGGACCTATGTTCTTATGGCCACCTGTACAAATTATACGAGTGACTATTCAGTGCATTAATGAATATTCATAAAGACTGATTATCATGTTAAAGCCACCTGAGAAGGCCCAGCTTGTAGAGGTGACTTTGCCAGCAAGCAGGTGAATATTCTCTGCCCTTGTGCTCCAGGTGTCTTATATGGGAGCAGAGGTGCCACCAGGTGGTGCTGTTTTCTTAGCTTGAAAAACTGGATTGCCTGTTTGGCTGCGCTGGATCGGCGAGTGCTCCAAGAGCATCTTGCCTTTGTTCCTCCATGGCTTGCTCACTAGCCAAGGTGTTCTTGCATCACCACCACAGCTCACTGAGAGTCTGTTTCTGCACAGACATTGTCAGCTGGCAGGAAAGGGATCCATACCTAGGTAGGTTTCCAGGGCAGGACCCTCTGGATCGTGTCCCCTAGCAATTGAGCTAAACTGCTTAAGGCTGCTCTTATGAACATGATGCCCATGCTGACACCTGATGAGAAGTCACACACTCCTTTGACTCTGCCAGCGTTAGCTCTTCTTGCCAGCCACATGCACCATGTGTGGAAATGAGTTTGGCGTGGTCATTACGCCAGTGCAGCTATAAATTTCTCTGCTGGAACAGCTTCTCTTTTTCAACCGTGTTGGTAGTCTTCCCCAATCCGGTACCCTCCAGATATTTTGGCATGGAACTTCCAGGATTCAGGATCACCTTGACTAAGCCTTACAAAAACTAAAGCCCAAAGCAACTGGAGGGCACCAGGTTTAGGAAGGACGTGTTACAGCCAGAGAGAGAGAGAGAGACTGTGACATAAACTGTAGATTTCTTAAAATGTAACTTGTATCAGCTGATTACAATGGGTTCAGAAAAATGGTGCATCTAACACTGGGCTCCAGTCCAAAGTAGTTCCTCCTGCCAGACAACTACCGGAGAGCAGCAAGTTAGTGTCAGGGTTGGGGTGATGGGCTATGGGAAGCAGGTGCCTCATTAAACATGGAACAGCACAGGCTCTCTTCAGCATCTTACTATTTAAAAACAAATAGAAGGGCCAGCTAGCCAGGCATGTACATGGTTATAGGTACTCATTTTTTAATTTTTACTTTCGCGCGCGCTCTGCGCGCGCGCTAACACATTATGCTTATTCCTCCAGAAATGTGTTTGGCCATCAGGACAGCAGATGCAAATTCCATTTTGTTCCAGTAGTCATGATTTAACTCATCCAAAATGTGAAAATGCACCTTGTCAGATTTTTTTTTAAATCAGGGTTTGCAAACTTGTTCAAAGAGGTCCAGGAGATAAAAGAAGTTGTACAGCTTGGAATGGTATGGGGAATGTAGAGAAGGGAAATATTTCTTGTGTGTTTCACAAGTGAAGTATGATTTGGCCACCTAAAACCTACCCTGAAATTCCATTAAATCTAAAGTCTAAAATTACCTAGCTGGGATCTCAGCAGGCATTTGTCCCTTGCTGCTGTCCTGAGGAAAATTCCTCCTCTAAATCTAGTTTTTGACTAGGAGAAAAGTCCTCCCTGGGCAGATAGCCAACAAAGCCATCTGCTAACACTGATCTTTCTTAAGATATCTGTGGTCTCTGCTTCCGGGCTGTTCATGCATCCAGCACTAGTTCTTCCATTGCCCCAGCCTTCCCCAACCTGATGCCCTCCAGATGTTACATGAAAAGTCCCTTCAGACCTACCTGCTATTAATGAGGGAAGTTGCCATCTAAAACATCTGGAAGATACCAGGTAGAGAAGACTACCCCATTCATTTGTGAGCAAAAATGCAGCCAGTGAGATGAAACAGATTGGTTTTAATTGCCTTAGATAAGACATGTCCAAGTTTCCTCTGGTGATCTAAAACTTACATGGTTCTTCAGGTTCCATACTAGAAGGCTAACAGTGGGATTAGGAAAGAAAAAAAAAACTGGTATGAAAGGAGGTGGGCTGTAGGTAGGCTCTAAATGCATGTACACACTCTACTTACTTCCTCTATAACATAGGCCAGTCCTCATTGGATATCATGCAACCAGGCAGGCTTCCCTTCCAGTGGAAAAGGCAGGAGCCAGTGAAAACCTACAAAATGTGAGCTCAGAGTAAAAGGGAGGGACTAAGCTGCTGCTAAGTTTGATGAAGAAAGGCTGTGGGATTGCTTACCATTAAGCCAGCAGGAACACAGGGTTTCTGGCAATAATTGTCTTTAGAATTTGTAGAACTAGTCTCACTCAGTTACCATTGCAGGAATCTTCCACCAAAGAGGCACTTGGTGGGCAAGATGAGATCATAGTTCTGGGGAAGATGGCATAGTCCGGAGGAAACATAATTACGGGGTAGGCCTAGGTTTATCATGACTGACTCCCCAGCAAGGGGAGAGTCACAGAAAGGATTTAGATAGATTTGGAGTTTATCTGTCCTGAATTGAGATATTCCAAGCCTACAGAGACCTAGCAAGGCTTCACAGCAAGCTACAGATTTCCCTCTCACAAGCTGCAAAAATAACCCGGAGAGAGTCTTTCAACAGGATTAACATGATCAGAGACACAGATAGCTAGGCAAGCTCCAATACACTCTGCCCCACCACAACGCTCCTGACTAGGGAAGTGGGAGGCAGTTTTTCGTCTTTTATTTCTTCTTTGGAATCTTCTCTTTTGTGACCATATCGGAAAATTCTGCAAAAGAAAAAGTTAGCTTGAAGTGGGCATGTCTGAGGTCCAAGATGAACTACTGAAGGTAATTCCCCCTCCCCTCCCCTCCCCTCCCCCATGCAGCCCACAGACACTTTTTAAAATAAGAGAACAACTATTTGCTACTTCCTATTTTGGAGGGATTCTACCTAAACATTCAGGTGGTACAGAGACAGTAAAAAAGTGGCGGGGTGGGGGTAGGTATTTGATCTGCCGAACATTCAAAGACAAAACTATAAACTATTTAAATCTTATATTTTCAGCCGTATTGTAATTTATGTATGTTCAAATATTTTCATTAAGCAACTTGAATAATGGTTATGGTTCCTTCCCTATTAATATTTATAATTAACAAAATATTTAAAAGATCAAGAATAATCACTAATAGAAAATAAAGAATAAGCTACAATAGGAAAGAATTGTAGAGTTGGAAAGGACCATTTTGGTCATCCAGTCTAACCCTTGCTCAGTCCAGGAACCCCATTTAAAGTCTTCCTGAGAAATGGCTGTCCATTCTTTATACAAAAGTTATATATATTCTGTCTTGAATATCTCTAATGATGGAGAGCCCACCACTTCCCTTGGGTGTTGGAAACATTTTCTGACTTCCTTAATCAGTGGGGAGATTTTCCAAGTCTTCAGCTTAGCTGTAATTCAAGAGTGTTATTTTGAGTCCTGCAATCTTGGATGAGAGAGAACAGGTTGCAGCCCTCTTCTCTGTGACAACCCTTTAGGCTTGTTGCAAAGGACGGGACAGAAATGTTTAAATTAAGTTGAATTAAGGTACTTGAAAGTACTATCATGTCCCTCTTCCATCTTCTCATCTCAAGGCTACACACACCCTTCCTTTTTTCCTCATAGGACTTGGTCTGCAGTTCCCTGATCGTCTTTGTTGCCTTTCTCCGAGTCTGCTCTAATTTATCTGAATCCTTAAAGTGTGATGTCCCAAACTGGATACAGTATTCAAGTTGAGGTCTGAGTGGTGCAGAATAGAATTGAGCTATCCTGTGATACCAGTACTACTGCTGATGCCACCTGAAATTGCATTTGCCTGTCTTGCAGCCACATCACTGTAGAATCATATTCAGCTTGTGAGCAACTGCAAGTTCAGGATCCTTTTTATGTGTGTCACTAACATGCCAAGTATCTCCCATCATGGGTATTTTGTTTTTCCTAGATTAAGATCTTTGCACTTCTTTTACATTTCATAGTTATTTTCTGCCCAATCTTCTAATCTTGCAAGATCATTTTGGATTGCATTCCTGTCTTTTAAAGAAATTGGCTGTCTCTTTCAATTCTGTATCCACAAATTTGATAAGTATTATCTCCCCATCTCTTACACGTCACTTCCTGTTGGGTTTTCCTTTCCTAATAATCCTAATTATTAGTGTTCCACATATATTAAAATTAACTTTCCTGAAGGCCATGGGAGTTTGTGAAGATGTTCTTGATGGAGCTTCATGGTCAGCAGATACACATGCTTTCTTGGCTGCTTCAAAATTGATGTGGAAAAGAATATATTTTTTTAAAATTTCTTGTAAGTTCCTTCAAGTACAGTCCATCTGTTTCAGTGCTGCCTCAATAGCCATGCACTTCTGATGCAGCAGTAATGAAACAAGGTTAAGATATCCCTGTACTTTAGCATAATTTTGGTAAGAAAGAGAATATGGATTTGAGCAATCCAATAGCTTCATTTTTTAAAACTGATAACAGTTTTATAAGGAGAAGATGCACTGATTTATTTGAATGTGGAAACAATTCTTTATCTGAATGTCTAACTGTAACTGAATCCAGGTGTCCAGTCCATTGCTGAACCAACAGGTGTTTTAAAGGTCTGCCTTTATAAATCTGAGCAATATGCTCTTTTTTAAAATAGTGCAAATGTACAAATCTGCACAAGTCAAAATATTCTTTCATCTCAGGTACAGCCTCAGTTGCCAGTACCCTTAGGAAAAACTGGTGGATTCCACTGAGGCATGCCCTCAAATAATAGCATCTGTAGCTGGTTTTCTGAACTTCTATGAAATGTATTTGTTATAAAAAATAAAAGAGGGGATACAATGAAAATTTAGGAAGCAGACCTTTTAGCTACCTGCATCCAAGTCCTGTTTCTAGCTACAAGACCTCTGTTGCATTGTTCTTGACTCCTAGCCCAAGAAGAGAGGTCATTTTCTGTAAGACACTGTAGTCCTTTATTTTTGGAAACACTTCTTTATTTGTTAAGAAAATGACTCTAGTTGCATGCAACTCTACACAAGGAGTTTTACCATTTGATAGAAATTACTACATGAAGCTGCTTTATCCTTCTCCCTGGCAGCTGTAAAGCATAAACCAGCCCTAGACTGGCTCCAGTCCGGCACTCTGGGCTACTTGGCGGGATGCTTGCGTTGTAAGCATTACTTTAGTGGAGACAGAGCTTGCAGAATCCAGGCACTGGAACATTTTGATTAGTAAGGACAATGGCATCATTTAGAATCTGCCTCCCACCCACCCAATTCTTCCCTGCTCCTTCTGAGTTCAGCCGCAATCCTTAGAGTAGTTTTGGGAAAACTGAATTTTCTCAGCAACCATATATTGTTGGGAACTAGTCTGTCTAAAGGAATTCCACCTTTATTGCATCTGTTCTAGGGCAGCTTGTTCCAATAGCCTCTCCTCATTTGTAGTTTAAGCAACCCTGTTATAGGCACCTCTCCTGAATCTTTTAATTTACTTATGCCCAAGGAGCAGCTCCAGATGCAGTGCTTGAGTAGCAGCAGAGGCACTGATGCGACTTTATCTGTTTGACCCTATCTTTTCATATTTTCCTCTGAAATACTGGAGACAGGAAACTGGGCCAGGCAGACCCTCCCCAGTTCTGCATAGGGCTGGTGATTCTTCGGCCACTCCCTGCTTCTGGGACACCACTGCCACGGTTTGGTAGTCAGGCAAACAGTCAGCATCGCCGTGGTACATTCCTTGCCCACCTTGAAAATCGATTCGTCCGTCCCCATCTGTGTCAGCTGCTTGGATGATGGCTTCAGCCTCTTCGTCTGATAAGGGCACCACTGGCATGTTGCTGGGTACTGTGGACAAGATGTACCTGTGGGCAGGCGGCGGGGGGGGGGGGTGGAATGATTAAACAACAGCAAGGAAGCACATGATGAAGAGCACTCCAGAAAGAAACAAGCTGCAGCTGTGTTTTGCGGACTAGGCTGGCAATTGTTATTCAAGATTATCCCCGAAGAAAGATTTGTTCCAAGGATTTATTTAATTAGGCCTTAGTAAACCTTTCCCTGTGCACCTGAAGATCTTTCCTCCCCACCCAAGCCACTTTTCTTCCAGCAATTGATTTGTCCTCTTGTTTATTTTTCTCAGATTATTTTTCAACCTGCAGCAGAACCAGTATCGCATCCATTGCTTCTTGTTTTGCATGCCATTCCAAACACCAGGCTGTTCTTCCACATGGTGATGGGAAAGTAATGGTTATATATCCATGAGTAATTGTCCAATAACAGCTCTCAGTACTTCTCCACGTAGCCTAGTCTTGGATGCTAACAAGCCAGAGTAGCAATTGGTTCCTCACATAACAATTCAGGGTCTCAAGACTTTTCCTTGTGCACTTACCCAAAATTCTTTTCAGCTTGTGAGCTTGAAGTGAAAAGTGAACCCATGGGGTGAGAGCCACTGGCCCTAAATTCTGTGTGTGCATGTGCGTTTAAAGGAACTATGCCCGTCTAGCCGTGCTGACCTCCTCCTGAAGACCATAGCAATGTGCAGAGGATTTAGGATCTTACTTGATTTCATTCCATTCAATGAAGCCACTGCCATCCTTGTCAAGCACTTCGAAGGCCTTTCGCAAGTGTATCTCCCGCTCATCTGATGTCAGAAACTTCTGCATGTAGTCAAAGAACTTGGCGTAGTTGAATGAAGCTGCAACAGAGTGGGGTCTTTTTAATCAGAGTGGGGGATGTATTTGGGCTGCAGGGCTTCACAGCAATTCTATGAATAAGATTGGATTGCCTTTACAGGGCATAACTGAGAGACATTTTTCACATTATGCCTTCTGAGAGCAGCTTCCCAAAGGGCCCTCCTTAAACTGGAAACTGGCACTGCCACGTACCCATGCGAATCAATTAAAATCAATGTGGGGCCCTAGAAGTCCTTATACAGAATTCTTGCTTTAAAGCTGCCTCCATCAGGCTTCTTCCTCAACTCAGCAGCCAGGCCAGCAGGCTGCAGCAGAGGGAGATAAGATGGAAAGCTGACTGGTGTAACAACGTTGGAGCAAAAAGGGGACAGGATTTTTCCTCTTCCCTCATCATGTCCCTTTCCTTTTATGTCTTGCCTTCTTAGTTTATAAGCCTGCAGGCTGGGTCTGGTTTGCTTTTATTGACTGTAGGTAAGCTGCTCTAAGAAACTTTTTGGCTGAACAGCAGGGTAAAAATAAACAAGTTTAAGTAAATACATCATGAAGACTTGAATTTGCACAAACCAGTCTAAACAGAAGGGAACCACAGACAGGAGGTTACAATTTCACACCCCAGCACTGGGCAGACCTCTTCACCTTCATCTCAACACTGGTCAGATTAAAGATCACTTGCAGTTTAGTTAACCCTTTCATGCTAATTAAACTCTTTTCAGGGCACTGTCTGTTATTTGATTCAGGTTTGTAATTCTGCATGGTTTCATGTTTGTGTGGAATGTGAGCAATTCAGTTGCTCCCAGTGAGCTAAGATGCAGATTTGCCTAGTCGGGCCCATTCTCCCTGACTCTTGCTCACAGGCTCTTGTGAGTGCTTCAGCTCCCGTTCTCTCACTTCCTTACCGTGATGCCTCATGTCTGAAGGCAGCAGGTCAAGATCTTTATCAGTCAGGGAAGCACCCATGGCCAAGGCCATCTTCTTGACTTGACAAGTAAAATCGTCCTCCATACTGCTATTGCTGGCAAAAGAACTGGAGTGAGGTGATAAGAAAATGCTGTTATGCTACGATTACACATAAGCAATGCTGGTCTTCCTCAAGGACATTCTGTGATCCAGCCCAACTTCCTCTCTGCATCTTCTCTGCACACACAGAATGGCAAAAGCAGAGAAGTGACCAAACGAGCAATACCAAAACAGGTAAGTCTCGGGAGTGTTTTAAACAGTATTTATGGAGCACATTTCAGTGTGCAAGTGCTTAACATAAACTTGCTCAGCAAGTTTTGTAATGACTGTATAAAACAATAGTCCCCTCTATTTCTGAAGTTCAGGAGTGAGTGCCAGAGCTTACGTAGGGCTGCAGATGTAAGATAGATGAATGGATGGATAAATAGATGATAGATAGGAACTGATGGAGGGAAACCCTCCAAAGACCCCAATGAGGACTGAACTTGCTTGCTAGTCAGGAAGTGCTGACAAATTGTAACTAGGCAAAACCAGAAAACAGGGTGTTTGAGGGGGAAGGGACAGAATGTGGTATGCTGGAAGGCTAATTGACTGGAGCACTAAACAGGAAGACACCACACTACAACATTTTGTTGCAGCTCCCACTTGTAATAATCCACTTTCAGAGCATTTCTAATGCATTATCTACTTGTAATTCTTACATGGACTCTGTAAGATGATGATTGTTGTTCTCCCAAGCTGCAGATAGAGGGACTAAGGCTGAGGGAGAATGGCTTGACTAGGATCATTTGTGGGTTTATGGCAGAGCTGAGATTTTAGCTGGGAACTTCCCAATTTATAGTTCAATGTCTTAACCACTGCTCTATACCAACCAGCTCCTATGTAAGATACCTAAAGAGCTTCTGATGACATTGATCTTTAAACTAGAGCCTTCCTGGTCACTTCTCGTGTCCTTGGTCATAGTGCTGCACCCTTATTGATGAAACTTGCAAATACAGGTTCATCCAGATGAGTGGTGGTGGCGGGGGCAGAGATTTTATACTAGTGTATGTGTGAATGTGCATATTTCTATAGGGAAACTACAATAGTGACTGGATATGCCCATCCTAAATTAGTCTACACCCAAGAGAAACTAAAACAGATGTAGGTCTGATCTTCCCACAAGGAGGTGTCCTCTAGGATAAAGGCAAGTAAATGACATTCTAAGGGCCATTTCAGACGTGACACAAGTGAGAAATCTGGGTTTGCTACCACATGTTTGTGCAACATGGAGTTCCAGTCAGTTCAGGCATACTGCCCAGTATACCTTTATATAATGCACATGTTTTCATTTGTCAGATTTGCATTATCTTTTTAGGTGTACACTTAAAGTTTGTTTAGCGGAAGCCCAGTAAGTAGGAGCATAGGAAGTTGGCTTGTATCCAGTCACCATTGCATATACATTTTGATGATGGTGAACCAAAAACAGCCTCATGGAATTTCTGCTTATCAGGAAGCTTTTTAAAGAGTGGAGGTGATCTTGAGTATAATGAAACAAGGCAAGAGCAGAGAGCCATGACAAATGGGAAAGGGCTCCAACTGTTTTGAGTCAAAACAGTGGCTCTGTGAAAGACACTAGAAGAGCTTGGTTGTGCCTTGTGATATCCTGCAATAATCTCTTAGTTAATTCTTTTTGGCTTTATCACAGATAAAGGAACATGCTTTGGAGGCAGTTATATGCAAACCACAGAAATATGTGCTGGGTGATGAGTGAGCAACAATGTGCAAATATGTGTATCGGTGATACCCAAACAGCAAGCAATCGGCAATTTCTAGGCAGGTTCATCATTACATCATTAAGGGGAATGTCATCCCCCAACCCCTGCCAAGAGGAAATGACCTGGAGCCTCCTGAGCTGGCAGTCCCTGGGGAGGAAGCCATTTCTGGTGGCCCTGGGGCTGACCAAGAAGGTCCTGGTCTTTGGCGGGGAGCATTTTAGACCTTCTCCCTGGGCAGATGAGACGCTCTGCTCCTGAGCTGGAGGGCGATACTGAGCCAGCTCACAGTGCCCAAAGGCCCAGGCTGGGGCTCTGGCAGGCAAGGAGGGCCCGCCTGGAGGAAAGACCGCCCCAGAGGAGAGGCCTCCTTGGGAGCAAGGCCTTCCTTGGGAGCAGGACTTTTGCCAGTGATGGGCTGCAGCTGAGTGCTGGGTGGGGCTCTGGAGCTCAGGCGGCCTAAAGCTTGAGGTAGTGAATGAACAAGCATGCAACACTTCATTTAAAAGTCAGCTTGAAGGACTGGAGGAATGGGACAAAACTGATGGCTAGGCTAGCATTCTCATCACTGGTATGTGATTTTAACATTTATTCTCTGAAGCTAGGATAGTCCTGCAGCTGAGAGAGAAGAAGTGAGCTCTCTTTTAATATTGTGTCTAACCTCACCTAAATAGTGTTTGCTTCTGCAGCCTCTACCTGAATAATGTCAATTGTAGTATACATATTTACATACTAATATGTTTAAAAGCCCCCAAAATGCAAACCAGGAGCAGTAGTTTGTGAAGAAAAGATTGCAAAAAATAAGAACTATCACTACTCAATGGGAACAATGACACATAGATAGCTGTCCAGTTTAACAGATGGTGATGTTATTGACTGAGCTGGTTTGGAAGTCACATTAAGTCATTTAATATTACAAGAACAAACCATAAGGATTCTGAGGAACATGCATGCCATTCTCCCACCATTCTATGAAGCTGCAAACTTGGACAAATCCCACTTAGGGAATTTTAAAATACTTAGTGCTATAAAAGTGGAACAAAAGAAAGAAAATAATAATAAATGGTGGTCAGTCTTAAGAATAGTGGAAACAAGCCAACTTCAAGCTGTAGTTTGTCTAGTTAGTGTAATCTTCACTAACTGTACTTAAGATTAATCATAGTTGAGCATTTGTACATTATGCTAAACTGTGGTTGATCTATAATGGAAGCTTCATTGGCTGCACCTGGGTGGGGGAAGGAGGAGTATATGAGCCAGAGAGTTGCCACAGCTTATCTTCATAATGCTAAGTCATAGTTCAGTGTTAAATGCACCCCCGCCCCCCCGCCCCCCAGTGCTGTGCGGGGGGGGGGTGTTGTTGCTGTTCTGGTTTTCCCTTCAAACTGCACAGATTTTCTGGAGAAGACTTATGAGAAGCTGTCAATGATCATGAAGGAAGAGACAACCAATTCTATTGTTTAGAAGAATTGCATGATTTCTGTCACTGGCAGTTTTTATGAACAGTCTCTGGATGAGCATTTGGAAGGCACATTTCAGCAAGAGGTTGATGTGCTTCAAGGTATATAACAGACTGTATTTTAAGACCCTGTTCAGATCTATTTCCAGGCTCCTATGGCAAGTCAACTAGTCATATCAGCTCAGGGCAACCTGCCTCCAGCAGCAACTGTTTTGTTTTACTTTAGAGCAGGAACAGGGGCCTGCTTTGGATCTTAAAAGTCCCCCTACCCCCCACATTAGGGCCCCAGTCCAGATCAGACCCCCGCCCCTATGCTAGAGTAAAAATGATAAAAAGATGGAGCTGCTATATAGAGAGTTTAGTCCTCACCCAACCCCCATTCTGGGGGCGGTTTCTCCTCAGTGTCCATCCCCCAAACCATTTACCTTCCCGGAGATGCACTTGCTGAATATTCTAGGCATCTGTGGTTGAATTCAGTCCCACATGGTGGGACCGTGCTATTGACTGGGATTATCTCCCGTTTAATCCGAAGGAAGGAAGCTTTCGATTGCCTGTTAAAACCACAGGCAGATTTCAAATTCCAGTAAATCCTGTTGCACTGAACTAGCTGCTCATCTTGCCAATCAAGCTGCCTGGGCCCATTCTCTTTGGCTCTTTCCCTGTCGCTGGCGGCCAAGTGTCTGCCAGCTGAGCTTAACTCCTGCGTGAGTCACCCTCACTTCCCAAACCCGGCACGGTGCACTTCATTTAACAACGACTGCAAAACGCCGGATTACAAGGGAGCAGGCACAATCAAAGAGGAGACTGGCGGTGCAATTCCCAAAACGGGGATGACAGACAAGGACGGCTCCCTTCTCAACAGCGAGACCAGGAGTCTGGAAGGCCCCCTGCTGAGGGCGTGGCCTCTCTTGTGCTCGGAGAGGTCTCGTGAGGTATGTTTATGCGTGTGAAAATCTTAATATTCAGTTATGCATAATGAGGGTGGGTAGGATTCAAGAAGTGAAAGTATGTGCTCCATGATAGCAAAGCACCCCAGAAATTGCTGCTCCCTGGCCTTCGTCCAAATCAAAGACTGGGGAAAACCACATCCTACATCTTCGGCAGGCTCTTCAGAAGCTGGGGTAAATAACATGCAGCTCTTAAGCTGCCAGCTGGCTAAGCTATCACTAAATCATGCGCAATCAGTTTATATTAAAGTATCATAGACAAATCAGGCAGTAATTGTGAAGAAAATACTTGAGTATTCCTTCTTGGGTTGGGGGGGGGGGCAGGCTGATGCTAGGCCCAGCTGGAGCTCTGTTTAATGTGGCTCAGGCTTATTGTCAATGCTCAAACTCCCCCCTTCCATTTATGCAATGTGAAGCCTTCTAGAGTCAATTCAAACTCTTCAGCTTCCCAGCATCCCCTCCCTTGCTGCAGTTCTTGCCCCTGATTGCAGAATCATCATTGTCAAAAGCAGGTTTCCTCAGCCTGGTGCCCACCATCATCAAAACCAGAGTTCAGCTCCTGTCAGCCTCTGCCTAATTGTCAGAAATCCTGAGGGTTGCCTCCGAAGCATCTGGGGGTACCAAGTTAGCAAAGGCTGATGACGACTGTCTTTCAGATTCTGCATCTACAGGAAATTCTGTTGTATGCTGTAGGAAAGATGAACATTATGGATACAGCAGGAGAATGTGTTTGCAGGCAAAACAACCATGCAATTCCCATCACTCAGCTTTTCTTGTGCTCTCAGCATAGCTTTATGGTTGGGTGAGGGCTGGAGGGAGAGAGGAACAGTGAATTCACTAATGATACTTGAATTCACTGGACTGGATTTGTTTTACATAGTCCACCAAATT